CCCCTCCCGGGGTAGGGGCGACGGAGCCGGCGGCCGGCGGCCCGCCGCCGGGCTGCCGCCTCTCCCCCACGGCGCGCTCCAGCTTCTCACGGGCCGAGAAGCCGCTCCACATGCAGTCCTGGAGGATGACCGGGTTGGGGGTGAGGCCGCCCAGTCCCCCCAGGCCGAACGCGTCCTCCTCGGCCGGGATGCCCCACAAGTCGGCCTCGGGCAGAAGCAGCATCTCGGTGGCCCAGGTCGCGGACTCCGGGCTCTGCTCCGGGAAGGCACGGCTGGGCGACAGCGGGGGCGTGGGCAGCAACTCAAACTTCTTCCAGATGTCCTCGCCCGGGGGGGTCGAGTCCGGGCCGCCGAAGTAGAAGTCGTCTTCGTCCGGGTAGAAGCAGGGCTGCAGCGAGTCAAACTCGAGGTCTGGGTTCTTGCAGATCATCCCCGGCATGGTGGACGCGGTGCAGCTCGGCATCGGCTGGCCTCCCGGCCGGCGACTAAGCACGATTTTCCGCTCCGCTCTGTTTAATACCGGGGCGCTTCCTTCCCGCGGGGGGCGCGGAAGGCGGGGGCCCGTGCCAGCCTCCAACACTGCAACCGACAGACACAACAGGAGAGTGTGGGCGAGCGGAGCTGACTCGGGGGACGGGCAGCGGGCGCCGCCTCTAGCCCCGCTCCCCAGTCTCCGCTCCAAGCCCCCCACTCTGCCTGTGCTCCCGAAGGTGGAGGAAGTTCTGCCTCTCGCTCGCTCCCTCCCTCCTTTTGTGTACAAGCTGTCTACGACAGGGGGTGGGAGGGGGCATGCAGATGGGGAGGGGAACCGAAGCTTCCACCCCAGCCCCCGCCGTGACTGCATTTGTGTGCAGCCGAGCGCGAGGCCAACGTCGGGCAAGGCCTTGCGGGGGGGTTGCTCCTGAGTAATCTCCAAGGAAGACAGAACGAGGGTGCAAAATGGGAGGGAGAGGACGCTCCCACTTAGAAACGAGATCGCAGGATGTTTCCAGTTTCAAATTGAAAGGAGGAGAGGGGCGCCCCCCTTGTTTGAAAATAAATAAGTGTGGGCTACGAGGGTGGCGCCGCGGTGGTTTCTTCGGCCGAAGGCGACACCTCGCGGAGACCGAGCAGAAAGCGGAGCTGCCCAGCCTTGGCACAGGGTTGGAGTGGGGCCACCCCGCAACTCTCCGTCGCCTCCGCGGGACTGTCCACCGGTCCTCACCACTGCGGAGGGAGCGACGGCCCGGCTCGGCTACAAAGGCAATGGGCGCGCGTCCCCTGCAGCTGCCTCCGTGGCTCCCAAGTTAGCCTTGGCAAAGCCAGCATTATTCCGAATTATGGGCGGGCAGATGAGACTCACATAGAAGGAAATGCAGTCCTCACCTCCTGGAGGCCTTGACTCCCGGTTGTTGCAGGCGAAAAGGAAAGCTGCTATTACTGCTTAGCCTCTTTGTGCCTCAGTTTCCTCAACTGTGAAATGGAGTTAGTAATGGCGCTTACCTCACAGGGTTGTTTTGAAAAAGAAGAGTTGTGAGAGCGCATAGAACACTGTCCAACCCATAGTGTGTCACTATCACTATTATTATGATTAACATTACCAGCTCAGGACAGTTTCTTCTGGGGAAATTAGAAATTAACACCCCCACCCCCACCCCTGTCCAGCAGCATTTACTCTCTCCCATCCCACCACCACTATCAGATCCTCACTCATTCCGGTCAAACTTTCTTACGGGTGTGTTTGATGGGGTCAGAGATTATTGCCGCTGCCCCCAAGACTCCCTAAGGTCTCCTGAGCATCCCCCTTCACAATCAAATACGGTGAAGTGGAATTTTGCCTTGAAAAACATTCCTCAGGCATGTTTGGAGGAGGGGAACCTCGCCCCGGGATTGGGATGGGAAGGCTTCCCCACCTCCCCCTTTTACCTCCAAACTGGAAATGCCACCCCCTCCGCTCCCCATTCACCACAGCATTTGAACAAGTTAAGAATGAGGAGGCAGAGGGTCAGGGGGTAACCCATAAAATGCTCACACATTAGCATTTGTGAAGGCCTTTCCAGCCCTGATCCTGGAGCCTACAGGATTCTGGGGAGAAAGGCAGATTCCCAGAGCTCTAGGAAGTGGCCCATGAATGAGGATCAGCTGCCCTTCCAAGCACCTTTATTATTATTATTTCCCTCATTTATGTAAAACACTTCACCTTTGCAAAAGCCTTTAACACCCCCACTTCTACTTGTCCCTTAAGCCCCTCATCTAAACCAGGCCCTCCTGCTGTATTCTCTCCAAACATCCAGGTTTTTCCTTCAGGGAACTTGCCTCCATTTGTAATTATATATGCCTGGGAGTATTTGTTTAATGTCTGCTTCCCTGGGAGACTGTGGGAAGACAGGCTCAGTCTCCCTCACTAGCCTGTGAGCTCCTGGAGGAGAGGTCTCTTGATTTTGCTGCAGAGCGGATCCTTAAGGCGCAGCAGAGTACCTATATACAGGAAGTTCTTGACGTATTGTGCAAGGCAGAGATCACTGAATGAGTCCTTCTAAAGTGGCCAGATAATCCAAGATAGCTTCTGTTTATTAATGACAAAGGGAGAGGGCATGAGTGTGACTCCAGAATCTCCTTCAGACCCTCAGCAGCAGCTCCGGAAAGGGCACTCAGAGCTGTCTGCTGTATCTTTCTACCAACACAGCAGGAGGACTGTGAAAACAGGCCAGGATGGCCCAGTTATTATGCTTCAAAATCCTACCCCTGTCCTTTCTTACAGACCTCTGACCTTAACCACACCATTCATCCTTTGTAGAAAGAAGAACAGGGTGTAGCAGTAACCTGGTTACTCTACATGCCTCTGAGCAAATCATTTCTTTTTCCTGGGCCTCAATCTCTAATCTCCTGCTTTTAATGCAAGCCAGTAATTACTGGCAAGTCTGAATCTGAAAGCTAACAGAATGATAAAATTCAACAAATATTTACTGGTTACGTTCATATGCGAGTGGAAAGATAAAAGACTTTATATGTGGAGAAAACATGCTAATGCCAGTTCGTAGTCTACTTGTAGAGAAGCCTAAAAATCCTTCTTAAAAATGTTGAAACAGACTATGTGGACAAACACGAAACAAATCTTTAGGTGGCTTCAAAATCAAGGTTTTGTTCAGTACTGCTATGGGTCGAATGTGTCCACCAAAAAGTACGTGTTGGAAATTTAATTCCTAATGCAACAGTGTTGGAAGGTGGGACCTGATGGGAAGTGTTTAGGTCACAAGGGTTCCACCCTCACGAATGGATTCATGACAATTATAAAAGGGGTTGAGGCTGCGAGTTCAATCTCCTGCCCTCTCACCCTTTTTTCCACCTTCCACCATGAGATGACACAGTACCAAGACCCTCATCAGATGCTGGCACCTTGATATTGGACTTACCAATCTTCAAAACTATGAGAAATAAATTTATTTTTCTATGTAAATTACCCAGTCTGTGGTATTCTGCTATAGCAATACAAAATGGACTAAGACTAGTGCCCATCACTGTGTCTGAGCTCCGTGGTAGGTTCAGAACAGAGGTAAATTAAGGCACAACCTCAAGGAGCTCACCTGGACCGGAGAGGGAGACACACACCTAAGATGGACACTCAATTTAATAACCAACTGACAGGATAGAGTTATACACGGGGCTTGGTTTATAAATAGGAAGATATTTGAGGGAGGTGGATGTTTTAGTCTACAAATTCCTTCTTTACTAAAAAAACAAAAATAAAATAAATAAAATACACAGATTCAGAAGTTTTCAATCCATGACCCAGCTAGATCAACAACCTCTAGTTTTTTGCAGATCATGAGTTAAAGATCTGATGGATCCAGCCACAGGGACCACGGTTTCTCTTAGGAACCGCACCCTGGATCTTTACCCACCGTCCTCAAAAACGTGTAAATTTTTGCTGACTAAATAATTTAAAAATCCCTGGTAACAATTGATTCTTCATCTGGAAAAAAAAGTAAAGCTAGCTCCCTGCTTTACCCAAATGAAAAAAATTAAAAAGGCTGGATTTAAGATTTAAATGGGAAAAATATGAGAAGAAAATGTAGTTTGGAATTCTTTCTAAGACAGATAGCCTGGAAACAAGAAAGGAAAAATTAAACGTATGCGACCACAATAAAAATTAAAACGTACAAGTTAAAACACACCCAAAACAAAGTCAAAAGACAACAACGGTAGTGATAGAAAATACTTGCCATATGTATAAGACGAAAAGATTATATCTCATGTATACAAAGAGCTCCTACAAATTGAATAGAAAAAAAATAAATGACCAGAGTAGATATACAGGTCCAGGATATGAGTAGGTAATTCACTGAGTAGGAAGTGCAAATTGTTAATAAACATATAAAAAAGAGGCTTAACTTAACCAATAGTCAGGAAAATGCAAATTAAATCTCAAAGAGATTAACATTTTTGTGTCTAGCAGGTTGACCCAAAGCGTTAGCAAGGCTCGGGGGTGGGGGGTGGGGTCCCTCTCATAAACTGTTGGTGTTCCAGCCCCAAGAGTAATCCACCCTACAAGAAATAATAGAACAAATACACAAAAACATATAAACAAGAGTGTGTGTTGCTCCATTGCTCTCAAAAACAAATGTCTTGTAAACAGTCTAAATGCCCATCAATAGAATGGTACATAATATATCCATACAGTGAAATAATGTATAACCACTAAGAATAATGTGCTAGACCTACAGGTGCTAACTTGGAAAATGTCCAAGTGTAAAGGAAAATAAGCCAGGCAGAGGCCAATGTGTCCAGTACTTTGGATATGTGTGTGCTTAAATACAGCTACATAACCCCACTAACAAACTGGGAAGAATGTGCCACAAGTCGTTAACAGTGGTTTACTCTGAAGAACAGAATCAAACAGGTGGAGGGAGAAACTTGCCTCTCGGTATAATTTTTTTTTTTAAAGCAGTGGGATTCTGAGCGACTTAAATTTTTTGTTTTGTGAAGGACCCTTTTGTGAAGCTTAAAGTCACCCCCAAATTTCTCCTTTCTTTCCCAGGCTGGTTGGGAAAAGAAAGTGGACCCTTTTGTGAAGCTTAAAGTCACCCCCAAATTTCTCCTTTCTTTCCCAGGCTGGTTGGCATTCTTTCCAACCAAACTTGTGCTGTACTGATTTAGCAGAGAATGGGTTCAAAGAGCCCAAGATGGGACAAAATGTGCACTGGCTTAATTAAGATTAGAGTCAAACCAACCAAAGCCATTTACAGTATACGATGTCTTTATACACTTTAAATGACTTTAAATGAAGTATACAAGGCAAGACACACATTTTTTTTTTTTTTTTTTTTGGCATCTGAGTCTGGAGGAAACTTTGAGACCCAGCATTGGGAGATTTTTAGAGGTGAAGAGTTTTATTGATAATGGCATAATTATGTTTAAAACAAAAACCATCCTCCTTTAATGACAGTAATACAATCACTGATTTTAGAACCTGGAAGTGTCCAG